TCATGAGCATCTCAATGGCGTTACGGGTTGGAGGCATTGCTTTTCAAGGGGCATAGATTGGAACTGGCGATGGGTGGCATAGTGCATCTCCCATTACTACTGTTTATTTGTCAACGTCTTCTCTGACAGCATCTATCATCAGCTCTTGGTGGTTCTCATGTGATAACCCTTGTATAAACAACCGTTTATGCATAAGTGCAACCAACTCAAGACACAGTAATCGTCCAGCTGAACGGTTTAGAGATGCCGTCAGAGCCGATTGAAAGACCTTTTGGCGTTTCTAATTGCGTGGGCGCTTTTGGCTTAGACATGGATTATGCCCGCGCTGATTGAGAACCTTGATGGTCTCCGCTATCTCTCCGGAATGTCAAGTGTGGCTGCTGGAGTTAGCGAACCAATGAGATATCTGATGATTGATAACGGGTAATGACGCCACATGCTGAGATTGAGGCTCTTTTTAACATTGATTCCATTCGTGTGACGTTTATTGCAACACAAGGTGACTCATGATCAGGGTCAGTTATGGAATTTGTAATAACCTCCCTATCGTATGATGCTTTTCTTCTGGCAAACACACTCGTGTTACTCTATGATAATTGTACCTGAAGAATCACTAGCCACAGTATAGAAACTTCTACAGCCCGAAACGGTACTAGCCGAGCTTTATGAGGCTAACATGGCCATCAAGGTCCTCACCTTAATTCGACCCACTCCCACCTCAAACCACCACGTTCGTCTTTTTCTACGGCTCAAGATTCAACCAGAGACAGAATGTGCTATCACATCTCAAGTCACACCTTTTGGTCACAGTGGATCATGACGGTGGTGCCAAGGAATGTGGCAGTTGCCGAGTTCCATGTCCCTGGGACGTGAATAACTAACTCTCCGAGTGTCACAGAGAGTTGGTCATTGGGGTGAATTATTGAGGAGAGTAGCGAGTGATTAAAACATGGTTTGCCTTAGAGTTCATCCAACGGACCTGGGGCCAAAGAGGGTATAATGCAAGACCTTATCAGTTGTGCTGAGTTTTCTAGAGTCCTTTTGCTTCAGTACCAAAGTCTAGAAGCTTTGTATACGAACTCAATCGCCTTGATGCAACGATGTCTCGCTCTTCTATCCTCTATTTCCTAACCTTATTACTTTAACTTTAACACTCATCATAAGCATATATGCAAAAATTATCACGCCTATCTCGTTAGCCGTGACTATATCCTGTCCCAAGAAACCCCTGGTCCCAGACAACCCACCCTTCAGTATCAACCATCCCACGCGCTTGCGGCTCGAACAAATCTAGTCTACAGCCTTCGGCACCTCGCTTCCGTCCGCTGGACCCTCTGTCAAGCTAAACCTGGTCAGCTAGACCGGTTCGCCCACTTTCTATAAGTCAGGTCTGCGCCATCAAGGTTCGTCGCGAATTTCGACTTCTCTCGTTATTTCGCACGTCACGCAACGCTCGCTGTATTATAAAACCCATCGCGACTCGCAGGTTTATCGAGTTGCAATCAGCTTCAGGCCAAGCAAACAGTTTAACAATTAGCGCGCGTCTTGGCGTTTCGACACCGTTCGAATCATACAGCACGATTATCCTTGGTCGCTTCCTCTTTGGGGAACAACGCATCGAAATAATCCTTGGCTTCGCATCTTTGCGCGCCTTGGCATTTGACGACATATTTCCCGACTACTACCTCACCTCACCTACTACCTACAGACCCGCGCCTCTTTTCTGGGTCTTACGCTCCCTATAAGACTCTACTCATCGCTTCATCCTTTACCATTGTTCTTCTTGACATCCATTAATCGACAAAATGGCCGACGCGGATGCCTGCAGCGGCGAGGCCGTCGATCTCGGCCGAAAGGGTCTTCGAATTGGCTCCATCTTCATCATCATGGCCTCTTCGGCTATCGGCGCACTCTTGCCCATTTTCCTGGCGCGCCAGAAGACGATCCCCGTACCTAAGATGACCTTCTTTATTTGCAAGTTCATCGGTACTGGTGTTATCATAGCAACAGCTTTTATGCATCTGCTGGTTCCCGCTGTCGAGAACTTGACCGACCCGTGTCTCGAGGATCGCCTGGGGGGTTACGATTGGGCTGAAGCCATCGCGCTCATGACTGTTATCGTCATGTTCTTTGTCGAAATGCTCGCCGCGCGCCTCAGCAACGCCGACATGGAGCACAACCACTCAATGGAGATTGACCACGAGCTCGATCCTGCTATGGACTTTATCGCCAAGAAGCAGCCCAGCAACCCTGACATTGAGAACGGTGACCGTAGGGGGTCTGGCTACGCTCCTGGTGGTGACAGCCATCTCGCTCATGGTCGTGAGCACAAGGAGGGCGATGCTCAGGGCGGACTTGCTGGCCAGCTCCTCGCCATCTTCATTCTCGAATTCGGTGTTGTGTTCCACAGTGTTTTCATCGGTCTTACCCTCGGCACGATCGCCTCTGATGAGCTCACCGTTCTGTTGATCGTTCTCGTCTTCCATCAGATGTTCGAGGGTCTCGGTCTCGGTTCTCGTCTGGCTGTCGCTCCTTGGCCCAGTAACCGACAGTGGATGCCCTACTTGCTCGGCTGCATCTTTGCTCTATCAACCCCCATTGGTATCGCCGCTGGTATCGGAGCCAAGCCAAACAACGCCAACGACCAGAAGCTTACCAACGGTATCTTCGACGCCATCAGTGCTGGTATTCTCATGTACACTGGTCTTGTCGAGCTCCTCGCTCACGAGTTCATGTTCAACCCCTACATGCGCAAAGCCCCTATCAGGATTCTGTTGCTCGCATTTGCATGTGTTGCCTTCGGTGTTACTGTCATGGCTATTCTTGCCAAGTGGGCTTAAGGGAGATCCGTGGAGAAGAGAAAGTGGTTTAAAATGGTTATTCTTAAGGTGTATACCTGAATAGGATTGGGACATAATAATCTCATTTGGCATTGCGTTAGACGGATAGAATTGATACCTGGTCTGTTTTTCATCCCTGTTACTAGTTATGGCTAGGAAATAGAGCCTTTTTCTTTGACACTTGAAGCCGATGAACAGTGAATCTCCTCGTGTTTGCTCTGTTGAAGATTGTAAAGAGCGAGTAATTTTAACGAAGTGAACTAATAACGACGTGGAACCACGTGAGAGTGAATGGTTGCACAGACGCAACAGATGATCAAGACCCAATCACTTACATGAACATTTGCCTAATTTGGACACTGGTTCAACCTCAGTGGTGATATTCTCAAGTGAGGCTCCACTCTGTTATACAGTGTGCAGTCCCAGACACTGTATATATCACTGTGACCCAGATCTGTGGGGCTCACCTAGGGCCTCAAACCCTACAGCGGAAAAAAAAGTGCTCACCGAATTCTAGGAAACTGCGATCTTTGAGCTCAACTATCGCGACGCTTCGACAACCTCACCCAACGACCAAACTCCCCTTTTACCCACCCAACCCCAACAATACCGCAAAAATGGCCGGCGGAGTTACCGTTCGCGATGTCGATGTAGGTACTCCCTGAAAAAAACCCATCACAGGAAACGAAATACGCTTCGAAAAACCAACACGATCTCTTCTCGACGACTTGGCGACGCAATCTTCCAAGAGAACCGCTAGCCCGCCATGGCGCTGGCGCAGCGCGATGATTTTATATACAATATTAATTGAAACGCTGTGTCGGTTGCTGTGTTTAAAGGGCTGGGTACAAATGGGATTGAGGAGCAGGCGCGAGGGAGTCGAAAGACTTCTGACGACGGAATCATGCTAATGGGTTTTGTGACTGCAGGCGCAGAAGTTCATCACTGCCTACTCTGCTTTCTTGAAGCGTCAGGGCAAGCTTCCCATCCCCGGTAAGACATCTTGATATCTATCGACAGTCATCAAATACTGATTTTTGTCTCAGGTTGGGTCGATACCGTCAAGACTGGTCCTGCTAAGGAGCTCCCTCCCCAGGACATTGACTGGTTCTACGTCCGCGCCGCCTCCATCGCCCGCCACGTCTACCTCCGCAAGACCGTCGGTGTTGGCCGCCTCCGCAAGGTCCACGGCACTGCCAAGAACCGTGGCAGCCGTCCCTCCAAGCACGTCGATGCCTCCGGCTCCGTCGACCGAAAGGTCATGCAGGCTCTTGAGAAGATCGGTGTCCTTGAGCAGGATGAGGACAAGGGTGGCCGCCGCATCACCCAGGCCGGTCAGCGTGATTTGGACCGAATTGCCCAGACCACCGCTGAGGCCGAGGAGGAGGAGGATGACGAGTAAACAAAAACTGGCGGTTTCCGGTCAAAGTCAAAGGTAGCAATGGCAATGGAATTGGGCGTTGGGTCATAGATTTTGTCATGTATGAATGAGATTCCCCCGACACTGGGTCATTCGGTTTGGTCAAATTGGACCCGTCCAACTTGTCGTTCATTTTATGGTCGATTTGCCTTGTGAATGTGTATTGTGACAGTGCTCATTGTGTTCGTGTGTTTCATAACCTTAACCTTGATTCAAGATGTGAAAGAATTCTCTCTACCCCTCTTTCTATCCCTCTTCTCACTATGACCTCGCATTGATCTCTCCCTCAACCACCACCTCCTAGAGATCGGGTCGAGGCACGGCAAATATTTGCATGCTCTTTGCCCCTTTCTCTTCTTGTGTCTCTATTTATCTTGAGCATCTCATGAGATCTTGTCTGATTTCAAGTGTTGCTCTTCTCTCGACCCCCACAAAGTGAGGCTATCGCGAGTTCTCTGGCTTGGTTTCTTTCAATGCGCTGAGCTTTTCTATTGGCAACTCCATTTCCGCATGTTAGGAGTTACGACTTATTCTTTTTTGATCTCTAAGAATACTCTCATATTGTCAGTTATGGCCCGGCTTTATAGAGTTGTGCGAGTTCCTCTCGAGAGCACAACTTGTGCAAAGGGAGCGATCACATTTATCCACCGCTATTGAAATGTGCCTGAATCATGATGCTTTTGATATTTCACTCTCTTCTATAAACTCTGCTTCTCTAGTGGAGTGATCTGTAAGTGTGCCCCAACTTCAACTCCAACACCTCAACTCATTCAAGAAACTCCTACACTACTTCCAAGGAACTCATATGCCTCTCACTCGCAGGCACAATTAAATTACCCTTTCCAAATTTACAAAATGAACACATCACAATTAACAATGTCGAGCTCGGAGGAAGTTGAAGAGGTTCTTCCAGCCTTTGTGTCTGCTATTAGCAACCCGTCACCCCTTATATACTTCCACCATGTCATCGACCCTGAAACCACGAAGCTTACAGTTCAAGTACTCGGGGCTAATATCTCCTTCGTCTTCAGCCATCGTCGAGCAAAAGCCATTAACAGTAGATCTACTATTGAAGAACAACTCGAAAACAAAACCACAGGGTTCATTTCCATTATATCTGCAAAATCTCAGCGTGTTGTCTTAGCGGCAGCTGAATCAGGTCATGGTCTTGGACGATATGGCGATGTTCTGGACAAGAAGAAAGGCGTTCTTCCAAATAGTATTTGGACAAGGCGAGTCGTGGCCATGGGTAAGACCCTTGGTTTGAACATGAGAAGACCGTTTGACAACCCTGGCCGAATAGCTGGAAACACTGAGGGTATCTTTCTCGGTTCTCACGTTGAAGTCAAACTCGCAGTTCACGGTATTTGCGTTCTTCTTCAGACTTTCGGGATCACAAGAGACTTTAACAACGTCACTATGAAGCAACTGAACCAACTTCGACAAGCTCGCTGGGAAGATGGATCTCGTCCCGTTTTCGAAGTGTATTTCTCCCGAAAGTTCTGCAAACCCTGCAAGTCTCTTGTACAGAAATTGCAAGATGCCACTGGGGTTACGATCAGACTTGTATGGAAGCACCGCCTCGTGATGAAGAAATACATCATCAGACCAATAGATCGAAATCGAAAACCTGGCGAGCCTCTACGAGCACAAGAGTTTGAGCCTCAAGACTACGACTTTGGAGATATCCTGCCTGATGATTCTGACATAGAAGTCATATCCGACGATGAGGGTCCCAAAGAAGAGGTTGACCAGATTGACCTTACCCATATTCGATCGACATCACCAATTTCATGGAATCAAGAGATCGATGATTATCTGGATGGTCTCGCTTATAGAGTAGGCCAGATGGAAGACAGTGCCGAGGGTGCCAGATCAGCTATCGTCGAGTTTGCCAGTATTAGAGTCAACGCCAAGAAGTCTCTCAATGCTACAAAAGTCAGCAAACCACTCCCAGCGACGCCGGTTATAGAAGCACCTGCGGACTTCCTCGAGGGTGACGAGCGGCAGCGACAACGACATACGTTTCCTCGTGCACAGAAAAGACTGTTCCGTGGATCACGCGATAAGAATGACTCTAGAGCAAGGAGTGCTTCTCCTCTTAGACGCCAGGCAAAGCCAGTCAGAGACCGCTCACCACGACGATACAATTTGGGAGCATTGGGACGCTATTCAACCGAGGCTCCTCAAGAGTGAGCTTTGGCCAAAGCCAGTTCACCATCTCGCTCTATTCGCTGATTCAATGTGATCAAACCGAACAAAGGGTGTTTTACGAGAGCCCTATGCAGATCAAGCAGACTACCACTATCCGAGTGCTGTTGAAGGACACAGAAATTCTGTCAAGGCGTCATTCAATTTTGGAAGGCCGAAGCCAACAATGTCTGTGTCAGATGAAGAATCTACCGTACTTCTCAAACCACGAAGGAGGATACTGCAAGGATCTATCACGAAAAGGGGAACATTTGTCAGAAGATCAAAGGATCGATGTATCATCAAGTTCATGATTTTCCGTCATTATCTTAGTTTTGGTAAAATTTGCTATCAACTGTTTACCTTGTATCCATGTGTATTCGTTTCCTCTATTATTCATGAGACCTTCACTCGTGTATCATTCCAATCCGCATTACTTGATATCCTTCCCAGCGCTCTCCTGCAGTAGCTTCTTGAACCCATCCGCCAGCTCTCTTATCACCACGTTCACATCGGAAGCTTCCGGTCCCTCCTCAGCTTCTTCGATCGCTGCTTGAAGTGCTTCCTCTCTTGCCTTCTCCGTGCCTTCAACTCCAATCTTGCCCATTGTGAGAGAATTCTTGACGTCTTTTCCATGTCTGACTGGCCCCTTTGGCGTTTCTGGTGTTATAGCCGTGTCTTCTAGCAGACTCTGCCATCGGGAGAGATACATGCCTGGGCCTGACATATTACCTGGTTCTGAATCATCTGAGTCGATGATGCGCTGTAGACGGCACAGAGAAAGGGCTTCGACTTGCGCAAGGTATGCGGCGTGCTTATCCAATGAAATGAGAACGTCCTTTTGAGACTTCTCAGGAACCGACTGGAATAACTTATTCAGTTGAGCGTCCATGGTACTCATATCAACAGTACCATTGCTCGCCTGCTCTCCAGTCTCAGCGTTGCTCGTCGTCTGCACAGGTTTTCTCTCCTGGCGAAACTTGAGTACGGCATCGTTGGTCCATTTCTTCATCTCTTCCCAAACATCAGGACACGATGCTGCAAACGCATGAACCCATCTATACATGAGCTCTCGGTTTCTCATAAAAAGACCAACATAATCGTCCACAGTTGGCATGCTACCGTCCTTTTTCGGTTTGCCAGCCTTGATAAACTCATCGATGAACAATTGACCAGCTTCGACATGCTCCCGCAAATCTATCTGGGAGTGTACCATGCGGATCATAGGTTCATAGGCGGCGAAAAGATCCTTGATAGTCGCGGTGAATAGATCGGGAGGTTGGCGACAAAAAGCTGTTGTAATGCTCTCGCGATCGCGCACGGAGAGAAGAGCAGAATAATACTCAAGACACTGCGCATGCTTCTGGTCATCCAGCTGAGTCGCCAAAGTGGGATTTGATCCGTTGAAAATAGCGGTGATAATCGACTGGGCATGTTCCTCGCTGGCATTTCGAACAGTCTTATGCTCTTCACGACTCATAGCAATGTACTGACGAATAGCCTCGAGCATCTCGTCACTCGGTCGATCCTTCGACTTTTCAACCTTATCAGCACTCTTTCGAAACTCTCCAGCGTCCCCCGACAACACTAGTGAGATAATTCGCTGCAAGAGATTCATGCCATCGTCGGCATTGGCGGTCAAGCCGATCCAGTTGGTGACGCTCGTAACGCTCAACTTTGCAAGGAGTAGGCGCATCATGGCGCTAATCATACTAGCGGCATTGCCCATCCGTAAAGTCTGCTTGACCATCTTGTAGGGGATGAGGTTGTGGACGTTTTCGAGGAGTTTGAGGAGATATTGGCCTTCTGGAGAGAGGACAAAGATGTGATGGATGAAGGTAGCGAGGCTTTGGTTTTGTCAGTGTGAGGTGATAGAGACCATCTAATATGGAACTTACTGGATGATGGCATATTCGGCTGCTGCTCCAATGACTGGAGAGTGACTCTCGAGATCCGAAGTTTTGCTGAAATGATCAAACATCTCATCCGCCAAACCTCCATAGACCAAGCCCTCAACAACATCATCCCACGCCTTTACCAAGTCTGCGGCCTTGGTCCGATCGTACTCAACCTTGTTATTCGAAGACATCTCTGGTCGATTTGTTTTCTTGACCCCACCAAGGACTCCTCGACCAACCATCTCAAGAAGTCCACTCGACCCAGTCGCAAGCACTTTTCTCGTCCCCAAAGCACCCTTATCATAGCTCTCTGAAAGTTCTGCCTCTCCAAGTCTCGTCAACAAGCCCTGCACTCTAACAGACCAAAACTCGCGTGGTAGATCTCGCACGCCCGGAAGCTTCAGAATGAACCGCGTTAACATGGCCTGAAGAATAGGCGATGAAGAAGGTTTCTTATCGTCATCATCGCTGGCAGTTTCCTTCACTTCTTTCGCGGCTCCTTGCTTTGGCGTTCCGGGTCTTGAGCTCACAGGTGTTCCAGCCCAGCTCCTCCATCCTGTGCTTGAGGGTGCGCTTTGTGTAGTTTGGGGTTCAACTGTTGTTCTTGAGAAAGGATAGCCATAGCCTGTGACTGCATCTGGATACTTGAAGCCCTGTATTTCTGCGTATGTTTCGTGATGTGTGAGAATATCAAATAAGGCATGCACCTGCTCAGGTGCGAGATGTGTAGACGTCATGATATCTCATGTCACATCGAGGGCGTATGGGGTCGAGAGAAAGGGAGATGAGTCTCAATAAATAGACTTGTGAGATGAGATTTTTTCAGCGGCTTTTGAAGTATGTGATGAGAAGCTTTAGTGGTCAGCGGATATGGAATTTTATGGCAAAGGTCCACTGACTTTTAGTGGAGGATTTGTTATTGAACTTCAGTGATCAATGAATAACTGAGTGAGGCCTCAAAGGGCAAGATTCACGCAGAGCCGTACCTTACCTCCATGGCGTGGTGACGTAGTCTTGAGGCTGCACTCGCTAAACCTTTTCTGTACAACCCCCCACTATGGCCATTGACGTTGATTACGGCTTCATATTTACCTCATTCTGTACACTTTATTGAATGGTCAGGTCTATCATCGTCAACCAAGGGACTTTAATGCAAGCAAGACTTATTGATTCGCTCAACTACCGAAACCCTTTACAACACTACATATCACGCCATCACATCGTGACAATAGAATAAAGATATTAACGGTAAAACAATCAATTTCAACTATCAACCAATCGTGTATACCCTCATAACAAAGGAAACGGCCGTCACTTCACTAATTAATAAGCCTGTAGTTTTTCCTTAACCAAGCACAATCCTCGCATCGTGCTTTATCCGCCCGTCGTCATTGCTTCCAGTGTGGTATCAAAAACAAAGAGAATAAAGACAACTCAAGTACATGAGCATGGGTATAACGTCAACGATCCTCCACTATTATTTTTCCTGTGCCTACTTGGCATCTTCGTCACATGGATTCTAAACGGGGTTGATCTGGCCAGTGGTGAGAGGAGCCTGGCTAGTGGGCAGGCCGGTTTGACCATTGGTGAAGCCAGCAGGGTGCTTGCCATTAACAGCACCATTGCCCATCTGGAGACCATTTCCACTACCGTTCAACGCACCGTTACCAGTGTGGGCGTGACCACCAGCAGGGTAGAAGTCGTAGTCAGCGTTGGAAGTGTTCTTAGGTCCAAGGTCTGAGACGGGGTGAGCCTTGCGCTGGATCTTGGGAGCAGAGGGAATGTCGGTGCTCTTCTTGGCAGAGCCGATAGAGAAGACAGGGCTCTCCCACTTGTCGCCCTTGCGGGCAAGCTCCCTGTACTCAGTAGCCTTGGTGCTAATGCCACCAGGGAGGTCGATGTTGGGGAAGATGCTGTCCTCCTTGGTCATGGCAATGTTGGCCTTCTTGTCAGAAGCAGCAGCCTCGGCCTTCTTCTTGCCCTTGGTGAACTGCTGCTGGGCAGCAGTGTAGTAGCGGTTGTAGATGTTGGGGGCATTTTCAGGGTTGTTCTTGGCCTCAGCAGCAGCACGGTCAGCCTCCTGCTTAACCTGGAACAACAACTGGTCGAACTTGTTGCACTGATCCTTGATGGCCTTCTCAACAGCCTTCTGCAGAGGAGGGCGAATAACCTTGAGCATGAAAGGCTTGAACAAGGAGAAGAGCAGCTTGTGGTTCGACTTCTTGATCTTGATCTGGAGCTTGTTGAAGTCAACATCAACCTTCTCAACCTTAAAGTAGTTCTGGCGATCCTTCTTATCGGCGGTAGACACCTTCATCTTGAAGGAGAAGCCATCACCAGGGAGGATGATATCAGCGACACCAGTGTCGGTGATTGAAGGGAAGCCTTGCTTGCGCTTGATGTGGAAGCTCACGTCGCGAAGATCCATCTGGATGCCAGCAACCTTAACCTCGACGGTCTGGTGGTTCTTGTTGGCGATCTTCTTGCGACCCCATCGGAAGTAGTGCTCGCTGGAAACCTCGAAGATGTTGGGGGCAAAGTTGTCACTCTCAAGGACAAGGTTCTCAATGATAGCATCGACCTGGGAGTCGGTGTACTCAATTCGAGGAATGGGGATGTAGGCAATGTTCTCCAGGGCGGCGGGGAGAATGACATCCCTCAAGTCCTTGAGCAGATGAGGCTTGAAGACAGGCTTGCCATCCTGGTCGTTGCCAAGGTCCTTGAACAGCTTTTGAAGAGACTCGGCAAAAGCGTGGTTCTGGGGGTCTTGGTCGAACTGATCGGCAAGGAACTTGATCTCATCGACAACACGGTCGGTGTGACCGCGGTATTTGTTACGGAGGAGGTATCGGCCCTGGTCATAGAGCTGATCCCACTCACGAGTGGACTCATCCTCGAGGATGTAGCCCTGCTGAAGGAGACATCGGCGGATGTACGAGTCCATAGCCTTGAACCAGTCCTTGAGCTCACGGTCGTTATCAGCATCGCGGTAGATCTGGCCAATGGCCTCCCAGAGGTCCTCAGTGGAGGTACCGTTGGCGAATCGCTCAATGATAGTGCGGAGGTCACGCTCAGCGGCACCAAGACCACCACGTGCGTCCTTAGCGGTATCAGTAGAACCCTGACCAAGGGTGCGACCGTGGCGACTGTAAGTTTCAGCCAGGCGCAGAAGAGTCTGTATGGCCTGCGAGTAGTCCTCGTGCTGCTGGCACTCCAGAATCATCTTCTTGAGACGCCAGATGGTCTGGTCCTTGCGCTCCTGAGGCATCTTCTTGTCGAAGTAGTTGCGAGCACGGCGACGGTACTCCTCATTGCGCTGCAAGATGTTTTCCTTGGTCTCAGGGTCGATCTTGTTGTCGAGCTTGGCCTCAGCAGCCTGCTTAGCGGCGCTCTTGCCAGCCTGGGGGTCGGTTTGGCGAGCGGCGTCACGAGCGGCGTCGGTTGAAGCAGGCACGGAGCTGGAAGGCACATTACCAGTCTCGGTGCCGGTGGTGACCTGCGGGTAAGTGCCCTGCTGAGCATTGGACTGCTGGTTCTGCTGGAGCTGTCCGGGAGCGGCAGCGTTGACACCAGCAGCAGCGACATCCTTGGCATCCTCCTTTGGGTTTCCACTGTAGAAGCCCTTAGCCTGCTGCTTCAGGTTGTCCTTGGAGAAGTCGGGAGCCTCATGCCAGACATTGTCTTGAGCAGGCTCGTCGATCTGTCGAAGTTGCTCCTGAGAGGGGCGGACACGGGCAGCGGCGTTGGTAGCAGCATCGCCAGCCATATCGCGGAAGAGGACTGTAGCATCAGAGAGAAGCTTTCGGAACTGTCCGTTGGTGATGAGAAGCTGGCCAAGGGTTCTCAGACCCTCGAGAGCTTGATCGCCATCCTGCTTGGCAGCGTCCTTGCTGATGGGGGCATTGGGTGTATTGACACTCTTGGGGTCGAACTGAGTGGTTTGCCAGATGAAATCCTGAATCAGGTTGCCCTCGTTCTTGGAAAGAAGGAGGTACTTGGCTTGCTTGATGGCGTTGGCAGCATCCTTGACGAGCTCTTGACCCTCAGCGGAGAGCTTCTCGTGGCGACCAGAGAGGGCGCGAGAGGCGAGGAAACTGCTTAGGGCGACATCGATTTGGTCGTTCTGGAGGACAATACGTTAGAATGCGAAGAACAGGACCGCGCAGAGAATACTCACTGAAGGAACCTTGCCGTTCTGAAAGGCAGAAATGATACCGTAGACTTGGAGCTTTCGGTTGACATCGGCCTCCTTCGTCTTGATGTCTGTAGGTTTGTTGACGTCTGGGGCACCGGGCATGATGGGCAAAAGTGTATGGGGTATCTCGTTATTAAGTCGTTATGCCGCCGGAAAGTATGACGTTAAATGTTAGAAAGTTAACTCTTTTTAGAGTTGAGGTGACGATGATGTAGTAGATAAGAGACGAAGCAGAAGTCGATCTTATTATGAGAGAGGGTAGGAAGCGTTGCGTTGCGTAGGCGTAGGTAACAAAGGAAGAAGCTGTTGTTCGGTATTTTCAGGTATGGGATGGGTATCACGAAGCAGTTGGGTATTTGTATTAGGTACCTTAGGAATTGGTATTGGATGGGATATGAAATAGAGAAAGAGCTCCTGGTACGAGGCAGGAGAGAGAGGATTAGATATACTTTTCTAAGGGAGACTCCCCGTGACAGGCAGGTACGAGAGTTACACAGTAATGGCTGGATCCGGGCAGTGGTTGGCTTGGTCTGGGCTGGGCTGGAGAAAGGGAGTGGTCAGTGACGTTGATGTTTGCTAAGGGCGACGATGTTGATCGAGGACGTCATCGGTCGATTTGCAAAGATGTGTTGACCAGGTCCAGCGCCAACGCACGCTACTGGCCAGGCCACAGACCAATTTCACAGTACAGGCACCTCGATGCGCTATCGTTTCTGAACAGGGCACTCTTTCTGGGCATTCGCATTGGCACTTGCATCGGCATACATTCATTGAATCACTTATTTCTGTTAAACCCCCCTGCTTGGCTATGAGATTGAAATCCGGAGCGAACCCTACGACCAAGCAAGGTACCCTACCGACCTAAGCAGGGGTCAAGCAGATGATGGAGCTGCAAACCAGCGGAAAAAGGGAAGGGAAATGTACCAGGACAGCAGCTGAAGATAACAAGGGTTAGCTCTAGACTCTTTGCGTTGCGATGATGATGCTGTTTGATCCCCAATTAGAGGCGTTTCGAAGCGTCAGGGGAGACGGTCAAGCCTCGATGTTTATACCCTTCGCGATGCTACCTCGACGACGATCTAGACCTCTTGACCAGCAACAAGATGACAACCGTTGATAATCGCAAGCCATGGCTTATTTTGCACTGCTGATGCTATTATTCATTGCATTCACTGTCTGGATAATGGGTCCATAAAGAAGGTTGCCCCAGGCAAACCCATCAAATGTTGCGGCATGTCTCACAGACCCCTGGCTGGTTCGCTGAATCAAAGCCTGGTAAGACAACACTACGGGCACGAGTCTAGTCAAAATGAAAGGTGCAATTTTATTCATCTGCTTGCTCTGCCAAGGATTGGCCGGTGGTGCAGGTCTGGCTCTGTACGTCTTGTCTTCCTGGATTTCTTGTGTTTTGCGTCTTGTTACTGAATCGACAGAAGTGACATGGCATTGGCTTTGACGCTGGCGTTGTATCTTCAAAATTTGATATCTTCTTATTCCCGAGGTCCTCTCCGGATCGACAATGTGGATTCCGTCGATGATCTGCCCTGTCCCATGATATAATTCCCACCTTTGCAGAGCTGATGTTGAAGGAATTGACAAGGTTGTCAATGAGCCTCCGATATCTTTTCTGCCGGTCAACCAGAAAAAGAAGAAAAAACAAGGATGCCCATTCTTGGCTGGAATGATGAATTTTAAGCTGGCAGATGGAGCTGGAGTAGCTGTTATTGTTTAGCTTTGCTCCCCACGTTCTCCACTGACTTTTAACATGATGGCCTCATAGGTAACCCCAGCTCATGAGCTGCAAATCGTCATAGCTCAATTTTCAGACCCAATGACACGTAATGGCCTAATTTGACGTTTTGTTGATTGCAGTTGACCCTTTGCGTGCCCTGATTTTCCCCTTCATTTTCTTATTCTCAACGGCTGCTGTACGAGACTGGGTAGACTAATCTCCAGGTTAACTAACTAATCAGTCAATGGCCGCGTGGGCTGATCTTGATGGTGGCCAATGCCGCGACTGTGTCAAAGCTTTCGTTAGCTCAACGTTAAAGTGAGCGCTTGGTGACGTCACACATAGCTTGAGCTCCAAGGAAAAAGGGAACATCGACGTCAGGTCTCCTAGGGTTTCATCACAACCCAAAATCGGCATCAGGATGCCATGAACTAGGAAATTTTTTGAAAAAGATGGTGTCGAGCTACGGCAAGGATTATATCGAATCTGGCATCTGAATACGGCATATCCAACTCATGTTTCCAGCTCTTCAGTCACATAAACAGTGCATCAACGCTGTCGAGGCAATTCCCGTGTAAAACAACCACAACCACAGCATGTGAGAGAAACTGAGACGTCGGTCGATGAGTTTCGTACCGACTGTAACCAAGGGTGACTGACGTCTTGGCTGTGTTTCGTCAGTCGGGTTTAGCTTTGAGCCACTGAACGCATCAATGCATCCCTCCCATCACATTCTGTCCACACAAGCAGCGTCTCCTTTCAGCTACTTCAATTTATTTCTCGTGATTCTTGACAAGAAAAAGGACCGACACACGGAAAGAAATGACTCTTTGAGTTTGAATTCTATCCTACATAATACCGATTGATCTTCTCAACCTAAATCACCACGCCTCGCTTTTCCTTCTCGGGTGGTCGTGTGCTCGGCTACTGGGCGATCGTTGCCCAGTCAAGCTCGAGCCACAACGGGCTCAGTTGCACAGGCGTAGCATCTAGATTCCTGGAGACTCATCCTCTCCGTCTTTTGAGCTGCCATCGGTAACACTGCCGATGGCTGGACGCGGCACATGGCTACAGGCTATGCAAGCTTCCATCTGCTACGGGGACAAAAGTATCATCTATAATGCAGTGTCTTATTGTGTTCCTGTCCGTAATATCTTTGAGGGAGGCATCACGTTCAGACCAACCTGTCAATCTCTAGGGTAATTCTCGTTGCCAAGCCGGCATGGTGTCGATTTCCCGGCATGCTCTGACAAGCAAGATTTTTTTTGTGGCTACAAAGGATGGGGAATGCATGAAATAGATGGTTCTCTCCATTGTCGAGTTCTAGTTCATGCGTTGTGGTTTGAACTGTACCATCTAATGCGAGAACATCTGTTCGTACCTGTTGAACATAACACCAACACCAACGGATACCAAGAAGCACAACTAAACGAACGCTATGCTAACCCAATCCAGTGAAAAGGATATGCCGCGGTCAATAACGTCACAACTTATCATTATGATGTGAATAAAAATATAATAGCTTAGCTCTTTATGCTGTCGATTTTTACGCTTATTCATAAAGTCGACGATCCTCCACCCACTTATTTTATCCACCTCGCCTAGATCTGTCTCCGGATGAAGCGAAAATAGTTGATTGGTGAATCATTAATTAGGCAGGCTATCTACTCGGTGACGATATGTAATTCGAGGTCGTATTGTATCTACTCAATTCTAGGAAGTAGTCATGCCATTGAGAACCCCTTCTTAAGGACAATTAGATAATTAAACGCCCAGTTTCCCATACTGATGTAAGATGGAGAAAGAATGCACTTTGAGACTCTAAGCGCGGATAAAGTAAAGACTGCTGATTTCACCTCTGAACGCCATCTATGCCGATTCGTTATGCTACATGCATTCCCATAATTCAAGTGTCATTCCTTTTCACGATGTTGGCTCTGCCTTTGATCCAAGATCGTTGAAAACGCTAGCCTTGACCTGATTCGCAACCAGGCCAGACCTCTCCTTAGATGCGATGAGGTTCGCTTCCCTTGTCAGCTTGTCCACGGCCTTGTCGGAGCTCTTATTATTCGTCCCCATCATGCCTTGTCCAGCTCGGCTTCGCGTGATGCCTGTTGTCGCTTCCTTGATCTTAGAGCTCAGATCGAGCATCTGTTTGTTGCCATAGTCGCGGTTCGTGATTAGTGGGTTCTGGCTGAGAGTCTGTACCCAGTATTTGTGCCAGAGGAGCTCAAGGAGATGCGAGTCGAGAGAGCTCTTGAAATGGGAGACTTCGAGACTGTAGTAGCGGCTCGCATGAGCACCGAACTCGGCTGCTTTGGCGAGCGGCACTGCTTGGAAGCCATCAGAGGTGACTGTGCCATTGCCGGCCTGGTGATCCTCCGGGTAGGTTCTGAAAGCGCCGATGTCGACCTTGCCTGAGTTGATAGTACGATCGGGGTCAATGACGACGGCAAGGAAAGGATCCTGCCACTTCTGCTGCATAGCTTCTGTATCGACATCGATACCGCTCAGCCAGCATCCGTAGCCTGGGTGACTGTGATACCAGCCCACCACGTTCTCCTGTCGGCCCTGCGCTCGACACAGATCAAGATACTCGACAAGGTATTCATTCGCTTCGCCTTGGGCGTTGACCCGAGTCTCTGTTCCTTCAACGGGCAGTCGGAATGCATCGGTGACGATAAATGTGTCCTGGTGGGTGTAGCCTTGCATCAAGCCCATGACCTCGAGGTTGCCACCAGATCGCGCGTGCATGGTCATTTTCACAAGAGCAGTAGCGCTTATTCGGACATGTTTGAAGTAGCCTGGTGTTTGCTTCCATGCCTTTTCGTTGTTTATGGCCTTCTGAGCATCGGCGTCGAAGTTGTAGAGAGCGTCGCGTTTCGGATCGACTAGCTGGACGTTGTTGTCCAACTCTGGCGCGTGTGTTAGCTGCGAAGTAATCCAGAGTTTAACAGGGAATCATACCCCAAGCCTTCAGAGCAGATGCCTCCATTTTGACGACTCCTAATGGTTGATGAGGTGCGAAGGTAGAGTGCGAGACAGAGGAAGTTGATGTTGGCTCCAGGCAGACGGGATGCCCCGCCTCTTATCGATAAGAGCTACGTAAAGGTACATATGTACATTGATATCTAGACCTGGAGTCGATCTTTGAGCATTCTTGTTTCAAAAGTCGATCTAGTGATAAGAACCAGGATGGCATGTCTCTACTTTGTTACTCTGCTGTGCTTCATTGCTATCATTTTGATGCTGCTTCTTAGCGTATTCGACTCTCCCAATCTTTGCCAGAGCGGCAACAGAGAGATACAGCCACCTCATATAAGGAGTACAGATAGGCAGGCATGTGGATTCTGAAAAGGAAAAAGAAAAG